AAAAGTCCGAAGGAAATGATTCCCCGCTTATTCGAAAGTCCATTCGAGAATCATCCTTCTGTCACATCCGAGGTTTAAAGTCACCCGGGTTTTCAGCTCATACATCAGAGGCAAACTGTCCCTCGATTAAATCACAAACACAATATAAAACACATTGAATTCACAAAAGTCCGAAGGAAATGATTCCCCGCTTATTCGAAAGTCCATTCGAGAATCATCCTTCTGTCACATCCGAGGTTTAAAGTCACCCGGGTTTTCAGCTCATACATCAGAGGCAAACTGTCCCTCGATTAAATCACAAACACAATATAAAACACATTGAATTCACAAAAGTCCGAAGGAAATGATTCCCCGCTTATTCGAAAGTCCATTCGAGAATCATCCTTCTGTCACATCCGAGGTTTGAAGTCCCGTTGGAGACTTCGTCACATCCGAGTTTTCAGGTCAAATCAGAGGCAAACTGTCAAATCCAGGAAAAGTCGTCAAGTCCGAGTTACAGAGTCAAGTCCGGTAAATAGCGTCACAAGTCGATAAATTGCACTCATTTAATCACAACTGGAAGATAGGACCACGCTAGTTAACTTCAAGGTCTCTGAGTTCGTCTAGAACTCCTCCAGTTCTATACTTTCGACGTTTGTGAGGAGAGGGCTATAAAGTAAAATTAAAGATTAATCGTTGTGAAAAGCAAATATTGAATTTAAACCACATTCAATCTGTGAAAATGACAATTACCCGAAAAGACGATTGCGAAGATGTAACTCATCATTCATAAGCGGATGAACTTTAATTTTCTTACAGCCATCAAAGCAGGAACAAGAGAATTCCCGCACATTCCTCATCACTTTCACCAATTTTGAAAGCGCCCCTCTCATAAAATGGTCCGAATGACGTTTATTTCGATCGAACTCGATGCCCTCGGCCCAAATTTCGGTCTCGATCTCCTCGTCGCTCATATGAGCTAATCTCAGTCGGGATATCTTATACGGACTCCAATAGAGCTTCGGCTCGACCCATTCGATACGTCGGGCTTGCTCCGAAAGAAAGTCCGGATCCGGCTGAAATCCACTAGATTCTGGATCCTCCAAACGTCGAGGAAGAACCAGTATTTCGATCGGAATTCCACTGACTTCCGGATTCTCTGTGGGACCATGTCCCATCTCTTCATCTCTCTGCTCCTCTCTCTCTACACCTATCTTATTGCTCGTGGGTCTTCCTCCGAAGATCCTACGCAAGAAACTCTTTCTCTCTCCACTCATTTCACTCTTCGAAAATCACAAAACAGTAAAGAACGCAAACGAAAGCCTTCGAAACAATCGAAAAGAAAAACTATTGTCGACGAGCGCTATTGTTGTTGAGAAAAATGAATATTTTTGCCTACAAATTTCATTTTCCTTCCCTTTATGGNAATTACAAATCCAAACTTTGAAAATGTCAGACTTGATGAAAATTAGATTTTAACAATCTTGTTGAAAATAATTAAAAATAAAATAAATCTATATTAACTTTACAAGAAAGTTTATTAAGAGAGATTATAAAGGAGATCCTTCGTTTGTTTAATCATATTATATTGCCATTTTATAGGTTAGTTATTTCATTTTTGATATTTTTTAAAAGGTTTTCTACCAAATTCACATTTTAAATAACGCGGATGAATTATAGCTGCGATAGATGGCACCACAAGAAAAGTGGAGGAGACAAATTAAAAAAACAACAAAAATTACTAATATAATAAAAACTATAAGATTTTACTAAAGAATAATTTGAAGAAATAAGTCAAAAATTGAATGATTTTAATATTTGAACGAATTGTTTAACTGTAAGGAGAAGAAGTGGTCATAAATCAATCAACACCAAAACATCAGACGACGCAGTTGGAATAAGTGTGTGAGAGAGCATCTGAGAAGCATACTTACCTGGCGCCGGGGTTAGCCGTGGTCCTGGTGGCGGCTCCCCCAGGGTGAGGCTTGTCCATTGCACTTCGGCTTAGCTGACCCCTGCCACTACCCCAAACTGGGGCAGATGGGGCGTGTAATTTGTGGTAGCGGGGGACTGCGTTCGCGCTAACCCCCACCTAATTAAATCAAAAATAGATGAAATTGCTAGTACGTAATACATAGGATACTTACTACTTACGGTTACAATGATCATTTTTCTGTTCTGTAATTTATTGCAATACGTCCAGTACGTTAAATAAATACTGTATAATAGAAATAAACATATTTTTTGTCGAATGGAATCCGATAAAGCGAATGTCAATTTTCCTGGTGAAGCCGGTTTAGGCGGCAACAGTTTAAATGTCGAGTAACGAACACGATTTGTTAGTCACTTTAAGGGATGGAAAATGTATTCGATATTCTTGCATTTATAATATCATTTATGATATAAGCGACTAATAAAAATCGATATAGGGATTTGTCTACTGTAGTTACCAAGTAGGTGTAATTTTTCGAACAATTTTGCTCTTTTCAATGATTTATAATAAAAAAAAATTACACCTAAGGCACAAGTCCTACGTGGCAGCGTCCAGCGACCGTGGGCGTGAACGCGCTTCCAAGCGGAGCGGACAAACCGGTTCAAGCAAATGTGCGTGTCCGGAGTAACCGCGTTTAGCGTGTAGCGACCACCAAATGACGCTTCTACACGCGCGTGCAGGAAGCAGCTACCAAGGCAGTTTGATCGCCGCTTCCACTGCTCGCGCTTCCAACGAAGAAAATGGCTGATTTTAAAGATGAATGTAAACAGAATAGCAAATAAATTGTGTACAGTGAAAACTGCTTAGGCGATCACCTGCATTCGACGGACACTTGTCAAAACGGTCAAAAATTTCTGGCACCGAATAGATTATCCATAGAGTCTTCGTATAAGTTACCTGTATTAAACGACCACCTGTGTAACGCGACCGCGCATCGATTTTTGGTCCGAAACAACCAGAGCCTATCATAGGGCGAAAGGAGCAGCCGCTCCAGGCGCTAAGTCCTAGGGGGCGCCTCAGTGGTAAAGAAAATTAAAGGGTATAAATTTGGGGCAACCAAGGGCAGTGGCGTAGCAAGGGGGTGCAAGGGGGTGTATCAAGCACCGGGCGCCACTCGCAGAGGGGCGCCCAAATGGTCTCCGAGACAAACTATATGTGTTTCTGGAGGGGGCGCCAATAAAGTGTCGTGCCCCGAGCGCCAGTTATATTCGCTACGCTACTGACCAAGGGGTGCCATAATAGGATCTCGCTCCATCCTAAAACTTGCCTCGGGCCGGCACTGTATGTACATTTAATCTCATGCGTGCGATCGCATATATAGACGGTCGGATTCGGGATGGAGGAGGAATTCGAGAGACAGTGCGCCGGAAATAATATACGCCACTACGCCTTTTAACAAAATTAACAACAATTTATTAAACGAAATGGTTTTTCTACAAGCGTGGAACATAAATGGGAGTCTATGTGAGATCGCGAAAGAGAGTTTACATGGTCGGACCGTGTTGGTAAATAGAGAGGTTGTGGCCGACGTTTTCATCGCGAAAACGTCGGCCATCACGGAGTACGTCGGACGTTCAGCGCAGCTTTCCTGTACGCCTAGAAGTTTGACAATGGTGTTTGAATAGTCAGTGGAATCATGCTCGACATTCCAAACACCATTGTCAAACTTCTAGGATTATAGGAAGACGGCACTGAACGTCCGACGTACACGTTTTCGCGATGAAAACGTCGGCCGCAACCTCTCTATTATCTTCTTGGGTAGAACCTTGATTGATGTCGGGATGTCGTGGATCGTCTTGAAGAACGGGTGGAGAGGTTTCCGCTGGGCCGAGGAGAGTTATTAAAGGCGGCCATACACGTTAAGTTAATCCTTTGAGGCTGCCTGACCTTGAGGAACTTCAGAATTTCCTATCGCCCACACACGAAGAAGAAAATCTCTCAGCAGAAGCGTAGCTAGGTGGGGCAAGTTGGGCACGTGCCCCGGGCGCCACTCGCAGAGGGGCGCCAAATGGTCTCCAAGATAAACAAGATTTGTTTCTGGAGGGGAAGGGGGCGCCAATATAGTGTCGTTCCCCCGGCGCCAGTTATGTTCCCTACACCATTGTCTCTCAGTCAGTCAGTCAGCCATGGCATCTGATGACGACATACTGGCTGTTCTTGGATGTTTATTGGCAACAAATTCTATTAAAACTCGCGGGAAAAAGTACGCATAGAAGTCTATAGTGTAAATAGTAGTAGTAGTGGTTTGGGTAGCACTGATCACAAAATTAATTTTTCATATGAATAATTTTTAATGGAATTATTTCAGGTCACAAAATTAATTTTTCAAGAAAAATCTTGGACTATAGATTCTGTTNGCGATGTGTAGTTTTGGCGGAAAAGTGAAATATAGGGACATACACGTCCATATATATATATATATAATATATATATATATATAGACATAGACATAGATTTCGAAATGCTCTTTGAATTTTCGTAGGTAACTGTCTTTTTCTTTATGGATTATTTTTACGCTTTTTTCGTTAATTGTGCATCCGAATTCCTTACAGTGATATGTCCATGGTGATTGGTTATAATTAAGTCTACAGTGTTTCCCCGAAAATAAGACAGTGTCTTATATTAATTTTTGCTCTGAANAACATCAACACTGGGCAGATGTGGGTCTTAACTTAAAACAGGTTATTTAACTATTGTATAAATATATCCAAATAACTATTGTTGTAATTTACCGTAAAAACAAATGTAATAATTAAATTTACCAATATATAGAAATGTAAAAAAACCTGAAGAGGGGTGCAGTGATGCGAAAATATTGCACCCGAAATGCATAGTAAGTAAGAAAATAAAGAATACGAAGATAAGCTATTGTCTCTGATTAAATGCGATCCAGGCAAAAAAAACGGTGGTTATTTCTGTAGAACAGTGTTTTTCAACCTTCTTGAATACGCGCCCCTTTATAACTTAAAAAATTCTGACGATTCCCTAGGACCATATTGAAACTATATCAGTGATTTTAAAAACTATGTATTTAATTTTCTTTCTGTTGAGACAAATTATTGTTGATTAAAATGAAAATTTCAGCAGAATCGACAATAATTTAACACACATAAAGTATGAAACTTCTTTTAATTATAACATTAGGCACAGGGAACTGTTGACCTTTTTTTTAGGATCTGAATTTTCAGCTTCTACTTTTCTACTTTTTATTTCCTTTTGCAAACCAGCTCAACACTTTTTCCGCTATCATTTTCTGGGGTGGGCCGTAATTCTCGCTGAAATTGTAGTTTTTTAATGTAATATAGCACCTACAAACACTTGTCTTTTTCTTTTACCTGCGACCACAGGTTGAAAAACACTGGCCTAAAGCAACAAAATTTCCTACATCAGTTATTATTTGGGGGTCGCATGCCAGTTAAAGGATCAGGCAAGCTGACCATTATTACATCAACAGTTAATGCCCAAGTATATGTTGACATTTTAAAGAACTTTATTATTTCATTCACTGAAAATATGTTTGGTGGGGATGATGTCATTTTTCAAGATGTCAATGCATCTTGTCAGAGTTCAAAATGTTAAGAATTTTAACTAAACACAATAGACTAGCCAGCAAACAGTCCAAATTCCAATCCAATAAAAAACATGGTGAAATTAAATTGTTGCAAACCTCCATTCTGAAAAATCCGATCTCTTGACTGCTATTTGGGAAAGCTATCAATAACAAATAGTTTTTTTTTATTAATGTAAGCCATACCCGAAAGAATTAAGACTGTTGCTCCAGCTTGAACTTTTATGACAAAGTTTAATTAAATTATTTTTTGACAGATTCCATTATTTCCCCCCAGATTTATTTGATTCCAAAATTTTTCCAAAGAGTAAAATTTAAAAATTAATTGATGTTGTCAAACTGACAGAATAAATGGCTAGAGGTGACTAAGGTTAGGATATGTAGTACAATCTTAATAATATTTGTTCGTTTGGTGGGTTATTCGATCGTTTTTATCATCGTTAAAATCGGTCGAAGTAATAAGTGAGGGGGTGGGTTTGGTTTGGACTTCACTTGCGGTGACCTTTCAGGCTACTCTTTCTCGTATAACGATTTGAGGTTTTTGTTAATTGGCACGTTAGTCTGTAACTGGCAACGAAGGTGCAAATGAATTATCCCCGGGAGAGTTGATAAGTTGGCAGTCGTTCGAAATGACTTTGGAAGAAGGGAAGGTCAATTATCGATGTGATGTTTAAAGTCAAGATTAAAGGTCCTTCTGGAAACTGGAGAACGAAGGGAAATAATGATGAACGAAGGGAAATAATGATGAAAGAAGAAAAAAATTAAAATGTTTTTAAAACTCTCAAAAGAGAGTTCAACTCCTCACATTATTCCCCACTTTTCTAAAAATCGCACATACTTAGTGTGAT